CGTATGTCGCACGCCTATGTGGCTTCTAGGTCTTTTAACCTATAAACGCCGCTTTCGAACCACCTCGGTAATAATGTAAGGTCCCTCCCAATTAATACCAAGTTTTCCAGCACCTTCTTCTTTTTTGTTGTCAAAGACGCGTCTTAATACGTAATCTCCCACGAAGAACGGCCTACTTTTAACCTTTGAATTGTAATACCGTGCTGCTGCCTGTTGGTAATTCTGGATCCGAATTAGAGCTTGATCACGCCTTTCATTTATGGTGTCTAGAGAATCTTTAAGCATTGCTGAATTTTCTTCCTCATTTAACGGTGCTTCTATTCGACGAAGTCCGGGCACATTGAGTTCAGCTGGTACTACCGCTTCCATGCCATAAACCAAAGAGAATGGAGTTCTCCTGTAGGTCGCCTAGGGGTTGTACGATAAGCCCACAGGACGGGTTGGAGTTCTTCATACCATCCTCCCTTTAGATGACTTAAACGTTTCTTGAGATTGCTTAATATCGTCTTGTTCGCGGCTTCGGCTTGACCGTTTCCTTGCGGATATCGTGGAGTAGAATAACTAACTTTGATTCCCCAGTCCGCACAAAAGGCATCAAACTCGTGTGAAATGAATTGCGGTCCATTATCAGTGACTATTTCGTATGGAACTCCATGTCGACATACAATGTTTTTCCAAATAAAGGTCTGCACCGCCGAATCCTTGATACCGACATACGCCTCAGCTTCGATCCATTTTGAAAAGTAATCCGTAAGGACTAAAAGGTACTGTACACCTCGAGTTGATTTGTGCAATGGCCCAATGATGTCCATTGACCACCTCATAAACGGGTATGGGGCGGAAATGGAGGAGAATAATTCCGACGGTTGATGGATCAATGGTGCATGGAGTTGGCAACGCTTGCATCTTTGGGCGAACTTAACACAATCTGTGATCATAGTGGGCCAAAAATACCCCATTCTTTTAACTTTAAAAGCCATAGCTCTTCCTGATGAATGACTCCCACATAATCCTTCATGCACTTCGCTCATGACGATTTCGACTTCGGGCCCAAAAATGCATAATAGGTAAGGGTCACTGACACCTCGTCTATATAACGCATCTTTTGATAGACAAAATTTCGCGCTAACGACTTTCATTTTCCTGGCCTGCCATTTATTCTTTGGGAGCTCGCCTGTCGTGATGTAGTGCTTTATTGGCTCCCTCCAGTCAGCCCCCCAGTCTTTAGCCGGAATTTGGTCAATTTTGTGAAATATTCGTGGCTCTGGTTCGGGATGCTCGTTTGGTTCAAGAATATCCTCCTCGATTAATGGCTCGGTTTCTGACATCATTTCTGGAACCACTTCTTCAGCTAAGACGACGGGTTCCTTGCTAGATGTATTTGGTCCCTTTGACTTTCTTCGTTTGGGTGGCGGTTCGATCTCTGGTTCGCCACGGTCGCGTGCCGCTGCTCGAGACCTTGTAACGACGAGGGTTTCCTTGTTGTCTTGAATGCTTCGCTCCGAGATGCATTCTACTGGAATAACTCTCTTTAACTCAGGATCTGATGTTGACGCCAATGCGGCAAGTGCATCTGCAGTTGTATTCTCTCCCCGAGGTATACGGACTAATTCAAATTTCGAGAAATTTTTAGATAGGTCCTTCACCACTTCGAGGTATGCTTCCATTCTTGAATCTTTGGCTTCATAGTCTCCATTAAATTGGTTAACTACTAATTGCGAATCGCAATAAGCCAATATTTCCTTAGCTCCAACCCCTTGTGCTAGTCGAAGTCCGGCAATAAGGGCTTCGTATTCTGCCTCGTTGTTGGAGGCATTGAATAACAATCGGAATGATTGTTCTAGAATTTCTGATGTTGG